TCGTTTGTCCTCTACTCCAACTCTGATTTATTGTTTTTTCCACATTAGTTTCCAGGTCCTAAATCACAAATGCTCACTCATACATTACTCTCTCCCACAGCGTAAAACCAGATCCCTGCTCCATCATCACCGGCTTAGGTCTTAGCAGCCTTCAGTATCCGGGACTCGGGATTCTGCTTCTCGATTCATACCGGGACCTTGAGCTTGACCTTGATGTGTATGACCTTGAACTGCACAAGATATACAATATGGTGACTTGGATTAACTTGGATTAAACACCCATAGTACAATACCTTGAATGGCGTCTTTCATCATATGGTGAACGCGAATAGCTTCTTCTGTAGTTCTGCGAACGCAAATAGCTTCTTCTGTGGTTTGGTGAACGCGAATAGCCAGGAGACCGAGAGTAACCACCATATGGAGATCTTGTAGATGTTCTGCCCCTGAAATTGACAATCATTCAAACATCTTCAATTGTTTCAAAACACCAAGAGGAAGTTACTTAACACTTGAAACAATTGTGATAATTTTAACATGTTAAGTTCAAGCTTAACCTTGATCGTTCTCGTTCTCTCATTTCGGAGGGCTTCTTCCTGTTCTCCTCTGCAAATACTACAGTAATTTCACGACCAAGAAGAACATAGCCATCCAAATGATATTTTGCATCTGCCGCATCATCAGGATCATAGTACTGCACAAAGCCAAACCCACGAGGCTCCCTGCAAATTCTTAGTGTCACAAATTGGGAATACAAATATAAAAAGAAACACCTCTCTTCTAAACCAAACTAGCAATAATAGAGCTCTGAAGTAGAAAACATCAAAATGGAACACACAAACAAGCTTAAAAAATACAACCAACCAGGGCAACCGAATAAATCAAGCATAAACAATCAGCTGGCTGCTAACCTTTTCGAAGCCACTGTATTAACTTCGACTTTGACCAGAACATCTTCAAAAATGAAATAAAAACCAACTTCCTTCTCAATCCGGAAGTAAAACTGTCATTTACCCTTTGTAGTCCCGAAAAAAGTATTCTTATTACTTCATTGATCTCATGCACATTAATCTTCCTACTTCATAATCTTCAAAACTTCCAATAAACCAACCAAACTTTAATAAACCAACAGTCCGTGGAAAAACTAAATCCATTATGATTACGCTTGCACAAGGCTAGGACAACAAAAGTCACACAAATGGACATGATTAGTGGGGCAAAATTATTATCACTCACCCAGTGTAATAATTACGAGGTATATAGACGTCCTTGAGTCGACCAAACCGCCCAAATGGTCTACGGAGATCTTCTTGCCTGAAACGGATAAAAATGTTGGGTTCATTTGACAATGTCAAAAGGTGAAGACTTCAACATTTCTTGTTTTCGAACTCAATCAATTACACAATTCAAAAAGGAACAAATCAGTGCATGCACCAATAAAAAATGTAAAGATGAGTCTTTTAATACCTACAGTCGCGCCGGAGATTACGAACTAGTAGACTGGTTGGTGAATCTCTACTCCGACCTCTGTAGTAGCCTACTGGACTTGGACTTCTGTACCTTCTTCCGTAACTCCGTGGTGGTGAAGGACTGTAACTATAGCTTCTCCCCATTATCACTTAAAAACCTGACAGTTTCCAGAAAAATGAGAAGTAAACTTCAATTCGGAGATAAAAGACAAAATCAATTACAATTCACCAGAGAAACATAACATTTCAGAGTAATTCATCAAAAATTGAGCGTGTCTTTATAAATCCTACTTAACATTTCTAACCAGATTCCCTTAAGCTTTCCTTTTTGAGATAAAGCCACTTAACGAAAACAACCGAAAAAAGACTTTTGCGATGATAAGGAATCGAACCTAAATGATTATACAAGAAGATTGCACATATAAATGAAACGTATCAAGATCAGGAAGAACAAAGAGAAAGCTCCACAACGTAAAATGAATCTAATCTATGTTCTGATAGTCACCAATCAACAACGGACGAAAGAAGAGATTCTTTGAATCAAAAGCACAGATTTTTTGCATCAAGAACGCAGAAACGTGCAAAGAGTATATGATCGTGAAACTAAAACCTGAAATCCCACAAGAGAAACGAAATTTCCTTCGCCGATG